AATTTATCACTGTACATCCACTCCGTAAACTAAGAAAAAACAGTCGGTAGAGTGGGATGGACAAAATTATGGAGGCTTCTTCGACAATACGGCGCGCCTGAGAAGTAAGGATCAGTGTCAGAAAAGGTTGTTTACTCTGATCTCTTCTTTCTCCTCATGCTCGACTAGATCATGAGGACGGCAAAATCTGGTGATAAGGTTTGCATACAGTGAAAAGCGAGGATGCAGGTGGACGACCAGGACATAGCAAGGAGAACAAACTAGATTCCAATGAAGGCAGAAAACAAGAAGAAGAGCTGAATTGACATACCAAGACGTAAACGAACAACTGTTACAGTAAACTTCTCACAGACGTTAGACAAAAGCAGAGTCAGGAATATGAATGATCCTTCGCGATATAAGCTTGTGACATTTGTCTTACAGCACGCAAACCGCCTTGATTGACATTGCAAAACGTAAGAGAATAATTAGTTCACACAAACACCACATCCGCCATAGCTTAAATGAGAAATGTTGACAAGATATATCGGTTTCAAAAAAGGTACTTCCATGTTAACTTATCCAATTGTTGTTCATTCTTCCCATATAAAATCTACATCCAACACACAGTTGGCGGACATATGATGAACCTAAGCTGATTAGGTACAATGGATTGCAGAAGTTGAATTCTCATTTAAGCTATGGCGGATGTGGTGTTTGTGTGAACTAATTATTCTTTGTAATCGATGCCTGTCTGATTTCGAATTCCAGATACAATACGTTCATTAGTGTTCATCTACTTTTATTTACTGTGAAATGCACTATTTCAGACATTCCTAGGTACTATGATAATTCGAATACTTATAATTATCACAATTTCTTACACAATTTTGTCGGAATATTTCTTTATATTAGAAAATCAATACCAGTTACTTTTAACCAATCCTAATTGTTTATCGATCATATAAGATCAGAAGAAAATAGAGTGAAGTATTTTTTGCCTAAATGTTGTTCTAAATGTTTTCTTCAATTTTCTTTATATCGAACTTCATTCTCTTGTTTCTTCATACTAAAATACAAGATGGTAAGTCTTTTGAGATTTCTTGATGAAATGTTGAATATGTATTGTAGAATTTATGTTTGTACTAGTTGCAAAATATATCTAATCACTTTTGAGTGGTGTATCTTTCACAAAAATTGATGTTTGTTATTATGTCTACATCGACATCGACCGTAGCTGCTATCTTGATGTTGTGGTCAAGCTTGTATATCACAGTGATCTGATCAAGCTACAATGACTGTAATAGTTGTTCTCTTACGTTTTGCAATGTCAATCAAGGCGGTTTGCGTGCTGTAAGACAATGTCACAAGCTTATATCGCGAAGGATCATTCATATTGCTGATTATGCTTTGATCTAAGATCAGTAACATGTTCACCACGGAAAACTAGCTTCTGCAGCAATACTGTCTTTTCAGATGAAGAAGAAAATTCATGTTTGTAAACCTTGCCTGACCCTACGATCTTACTTTCTGTGCCAAGGTCTTAAGAACCACAGTACCTAAACTCTGCACGGTTGTCACATGAAGGCTATATGCTGGTGGTTCCAGTCAGTTTTTTTCGGTGCGCTGCGCCAACATATTAGAGTTTGGAAGACAATTACTAATCTAATATAATTCTTAAGCTCTCCGAATAGAAATATACCTCCACACTATGAGAAACCGGGCTGTGACAACCACCACCATCTTAATAAAAATCGTTTTTACATGTAGTCTGCTTTCTTCTTCAGATAAAACGAGTGATATCGACCAGCACGAAACATATTTAAAAGCTAGCAATACTCTAGCAAAATCGTGAGTTCGTTTGCATTCTATTGGCCTTGGAAGAACCACAGAAAGAAAACCCTTTGGGGTTCAAACTAGCAGCGAGCATGTTTATGAAAAAAGTGTTGAAGAATAATTAGAAGGCACTTAGTCAATTCTGGTGATCTTTACATTCATGTTGTTTGACATGATATCCAAACAAGCGTGAAACTAGCAGTAATATATAGTGGTGGCTATAACCGGAATGATAAGAAATGCAGTGAATTTCGGAAGCTCCCATCTAACCAAAGGTCACTAGGAACATCACTGCATCAGGATCCAAACAATATAACGATCAAAGGTTACTCAAATGTAAAGTGAAAGAACGTCTACCTAATGGTTGTTAGAATGGATGGGAAGTAAAATCTGAGGTGATGGATACGGCAGTCGCGATATGCGACACTAGGCAGCTTTCAAGGTTTATCAAACAAGCAGATATTAAATATCAGATGTTGGTGAGACTGCTCCTGTTAAAAAACGAAAGATTGATTCATTCTCATCCCATCAAACTGAAACGATGAGCAGATTTCCTTGAACATCAGTTTAGGTGCTCTTCGGCTACCATTCATTCAATGCTTCTATTGAGTAACTTGAATACGAGGCAGATATGAGACTGCTGATCCTTGAAATAGAAGGAGTGACAGATAACCCAAAGCAAACGAGCAGCAACAGGCACTGGTGGACTACCTTCGGAGATCCCTGAAAATGATACCCCAGTTTTAGGTGATCGATGGTCTGAAAACTTGTTAAGCATATGTGAACTGGGTGTAATCCCATGTAATTGATCATGACTGCCAATTGTTTCAGTCCATAAAAAGGTATGAAAATGTTCTAGAAATAACCAAGGAGGAATAGGTTAACTAACATTGCGTCAAATATATTAGCCTCAGTGATCATTCAAAGCTTAACTATGGCTTGTTGTGACATTTCTATTGCATTCTACGTCCAGAAAACTAGCTAGAGCCGTATTTACTTCAATGAAATTATTATTTATAACAGTGGATCATTGATTCCAAGCACAACGGAACACGCAACAGCCAACTGATTTAAGTAACGTCCCTGAAGCTTTACTTTGAGTTAATAATTTATAATTGTTCATTGTTATATTAACTTTTGGACGTAATAACTTTATTGCTATTCCTTTTTGGTCAATTAAAGTTTAGTCCACCACAGGTTCGTGAGGAGCAAACTCGAGTAAATAGTCTGAATTCAGACTTGGGTATGGATGTGCATATCAAATATTCTCCCAACCCCAGGTTCCGGAACGCAGAAATATATACTGACTCACAATCATAGTTGTGTTTCTTAACCTTAATACAGAGTTCAGCTACGTAGACCGACAGATTTTACAGCACTGTTCGATATTGAGAAAAGTACCAAAGACGTAAACTGACCATGTACACGTTGTCTGCTCAAGAACATTTGATCGAGTTACAGCTCAAGGAGAACTGTACTCAAAACAGATGACTTCAGCTTCTGTTCTTCAAGTATTTACATTTTGATCATCGTTGTTTGACTTTTCAATAGATATTTTTTGTGGATAACAATATTATCCACTGACTCTCTGAGTTGACCCTCCATCAAGAGGTTCTATTAAGTAGAACCGTTTTAAAGCGTAGTCACTTCGCCCTGATAGCGCGGAAGTATTCAAGATGTGTTTCCTTTTCTCCAAACACAAAATGTTTTGTCTCAGGACCAGCCTGAATCACACATGAACTGATGATCGAGAGTGAAGCAATTGAAATCTATGAGCATTTTTATGATCTTGCAGGTTTGATCAACCTCAACAGGTTGACTTCTGGATATATTTCGCAACTAAATCGAAAAGCTAGCACGGCTTTTGCCGCTTTTGGAGTTGTCCAACTCCTAACTCATAGACAGGTTTGCTATGATTGATAGTTAAACGTTGACAGTCCATAATTTACGCCTTAATAATTTGCATGCCTTCTCTTTCATGTCGCCAACATCGACCGTGTCTCTGGGTTTTCGTAACATATGAAGCGAAAAGTCGTAAACGTTTCATAAAAGCACTTGAGTGGGTTAACTGATTATCAGACATAGTGGTGGGTTTAAACAAACATAAACCAGATAACTTGTTGAAATATGTAGATGGCAGGAATAATTAGTCCAGATGCTCAAACAGATAGTGTGTTCTTAGTATTTCATCACAGGTGTCTTCAAATCATACTTCGTACATTTTTGGACCATCGACTTAGTGATCCCGTTGTTAGGTATAAACTGTCTGATGAGTATTGCAAGCCAGTACTCAAGATGGTGAATAGTTATAGACTGAGATGATTATGATCGGAATTTTACATCCCGATACACCGACTGTCTTAGTGCACAATGGTGCCTAGTGCACGAATCAACGAATAGAAAGCTAGATCCCTGGGTTCTGGATTCTTTATAACTTTTGCTTCACAAGTTTATAAGTTCTACTTTGATGGCTGATCTATTATAATACCACTATCACTGTTACTAACTCAACCACTTTGTAATTCACCCTGACAATATACTCTTACTGTGACAATTGAACAAATCGATGTATTTTGCAATTTCGAAAGTTGTACTTTCCTATAATACTCCAATGTGATAGTCTTCCAGTGTTTGGTCAGATAATATGATATTCAAATAATTCCTATAAATTCAATTTCTAATAATTATTAATTAGTTGCGAACGAGTGGGATATGTAAACACGTTGCACAATACTCAGAATATATCACCTAGAGCTTCAGGAGTTATATGAAGATGAACATGTATTGTGTAGTAAAAAACACACTTTATGAAAATAGGATTATTTGTTGATTCAGAATCTATATAAATGAACACTAAATAACAAGTACATAATTTTCCAACAAATCAATTTTTCACAGTCATACATTCTTCTTCGTTTCTTAAGCTCCAGATATTGTATTGCAGAGGAAATTAGCTGAGGCTAACAATCAAATTAGACAGATTTCGCGTAAGATGTGATATGAGATGTTTCGTATTTTTAAAAAATTATATTCCTTAAAATAAGCTTCTACCTATAAATTGTTCAACTAAAAACTCTATGGATCTATATTTTTATAAATTGCATCACATGAAAAGAAATGCATTTTCTACAGTATTTGTGCCATAATGGTGAGAAAACTCAAGTTCTTGAGTGTTCAATTAGAGCATAAACTGCTGGGAATTTTTGAATTATAGTACAAACTAAAAATCTCAGAGACAACACAATTGGACCAAGAAATACTAGATACGCATGAACGAATGTGCTGTAGTTGGAGTTCAAAATCAAACATTCAACAGGTATAATGAAATCAATAGTTCATACAAACACCACATCCCCCATAGCTTAAAGTGGAGTCTAGGTGTCTAATCGTTTGTACGTCTTCTTAAATTCATCCTGTATCTGTCCGACAGTGTATTGGATGAAGACTATGTATTATCTAAAATGCAGTCATTAGCATTAGATTAACAATCGAAATGGGAACAGACTCACCTGGTTCCTCGAGTTCTATTGACGAAAATGTCGGTTTTGTGTATTTAAGTCATTGATACTTAGGATTCGCACCATAGATTTCCCGAAATTCTTCAACACATTCCCCGTGAGTGGTCGAGGACCACTTTTACGATAATATGTGACTTCTGCAGACTCCAAATATCTCATATTCGAACGAGGAATTTTTTTAATGACATTGATGGAGTTTAGCATTTTTTTATATTCAGTAGAAAGGTTTCTGCTCCTCTTCCTAGTAAAGGTGTCAATATAATCATTAGCAGTTTTCAGTGTTTTGACAAAAGTTTCTCTCTCACCATTGTAACAAGGGACTTCGGGAGCTGTAAATGGATGTCCGCACTCCATACCGTTCAACCAGGTAGTGTCTGCATCCGCAGCAAAATAAGAACCATTATTGATCACTAACACCATGTGAACCCATTCTCGCTCAAATATCTTTCTCGATGCTTGGATTGTGAAGTCAGAATTTGATGAGGTTGTGTAAAAACTTCAGACCACTTCGAAAAATAACCAATGACTACATGTATATAGTATTTGCTAAGATATGGGCCACAATAGTCTGCATGAATTCTCTGTCAGGCCTCAGTTAATACTGGCCAAAGGATCGACTTCGAAAACCGACTTTTCAACTTTTGACATTTTCTACAGTTATTTGCTGTATGACATATATCTTTATTTACCTTTGACCGCCAACATGTGAGTCTTGCCACAGACTTTATCTTGTCAACACTCAAATGTACACTGTGAAGGTCTTAAAGAACAGATTCACGCAATAAAGGAGGGATAACAACACAATCACTTAAACACAAAATACCATCAGGAATAGTGGATAACTCATACCCTTTGAAAAATAGAGAAAGAAATCTACGTTTCAGAGTAGCATTCCAACATTCCGTATGCTACATACAAAGTATCCATGAGTTTCTCTGATGAGATTTGGGCACCTCACCGATAACGTTTACATCAACAGACATTCTGAAGGATTAACAGGTCAATATTGTTATTACTAGCGAAAAATACAGTCAACATGCTAGATTGTTTGGCAATCCTGTGTTGAACCATATCGTCATAAGCACTCAAAGCAGTACTCCATCGTTTAACCATGGCAGCTGAGGATTTTTTAGTATGATTAACAAACTTTAAAGCCTCATGATCAGTGGCAATAGAAAATTTCTTTCCGAATTAATATTTATGAAGTCTTTTAACAGCCCAAAACGCACCTAATGCTTATCGATGATTTTGTGAATAACCTCGTTTATCAACAGTAAGTTTACGTGAAACGCATTCTACACTATTGCCCCAAAACTGCTCCGAGACCTACAGGTGGTGCATCAGTAATAAGCACAGAATGTAAACTAGGGGAGTATGTTCGAAGGACATCATCTTCAGCAACTTCAGTAGACTTTGTAAACATGAATCTTGTTTCTCATCTCATTTAAACGAGTCGGATGTCAAAGTATTAGATAAAAAATTTGGAATAAAACGGGAATAGTACTGAAGAGCAGCCACTAGTGAACGTAGATCCGTAAGATTTTTGGAGACGGCGCATTTGTCAGTGGATTTAGTCGTCTCATATCTGGTAATAATAATAATAATAATAACAATAATAATATATTTCTGCATGTGCAGGTACACACCGTTTTTACAGGCATGATCTATAAATTACAACATTTGTTGGTTCGCAAAATGCTTCCCAACTTATTAGGTTTATAGTTGTTATGAAGTGAAATCTCAGAGCGCGTGCTGTAAACTGTGATCTTGAGAGGGCGCGTACGTCAAGTTTGTTCCGAACGTCAGAAGTTTCATAGCTGTGCTCTCACAGCAAGATTCAAAAAAAATAGAAATAGAAGAGCAGCAAGGCACTTGGATATGAACGCCAATGGTTGCTTAACATTGTGTAGTAGAACGAACAGAGGTATGATAAATTAGAATAAGTTCATATTATGTCTTGTTAGAGTGAAGTCAGAGGCTCCATAAGAGAATGTACTAATAAAGTACAATGAGTTGTGTCGTTTAACAAGTTGGAGTAACCTCACATGAAGGAAGGGAAGTCAAGGTTGGTACAAGGGAAGCGGTTTATTAAAAAGGAGTGTATATAGAGGGTGAAGTGTTAAGAACACTAATGACTATATCTTTTGTTATCTTTTTTTCTATCCGATGCCAGCCACACAATCCTAGTGTAAAAGTCCGAGTTAGCATGTTATAGGTCTAAAACAACTATCAACTATGTATCCAAGACATTCGAAACTAGATAAACAAAATGAAAACTTATTTGGATTCACTGATATATTCCTCCCAATCAAACGACACAATAGAGCAATTAGTCTCTGGTCATGTACAAACTTATCTGAACCATCAACAATGAGATCATCTTGATAAACTTCAACACCTTCAAGATCATTACCTACCTTATTCATAACTCTCTGAAATATTGCTGGAGAACAAATTAAACCAAATGGAAGGAAGTTGTATTTGAACAGACCAAAAGGAGTGTTAGTTCTCGTCAAAATAGATGAAGATTGATCTGAAGGGATTGAAAATAAGCATCTATTAGGTCAACTTTCGAGAACGCTTTGGAATCATGAAGTCAATTTAGAATGATTTTAGCCTCTACCGTCGTGCACGTTCGCTCCAAAGAACGGGAGTTCAAAGATTATCCATAATCACCACAAATTCCAGGGGTCCTACCGTCCGACGTCAGTGGCGTAGCAATAGGAGTGCCCCATGCCGAAGACTGAATTGGTTCAATTATAGCTTTCGCACAAAAATCGTTCAATGTATTATGTACTGCTTACCGAAGACCATAAAGAATTATTCGTCCTTTAGGAAAGACTGGATCACCCTGTACTTGACGTTTTATAGGCTGAATTTTCATACCTCTGCTGCACTCAGCACACGTAGCCATGAAATTTTTAAGTAAAGCATCAGAATATTTCTTGCAACTAGGAAAGGCAATTACACATTAAACTTTTTCAGATTCCCTAAACCCAGTATTGACAGTCCTGTTTCGCTAACTAAAAATTCACAAGGTATGTATGAAGAATTATCATATCTTGTTAGCAATTCACAACATTCTCGTATGGGCAATCTGTGTCCAGTAATCCTCAATATCGATACTTAAGTGGGTCGTACCACAACGTTAGCATCTTGAATGAAATAATGGACTCTATACTGCCTGTGTCCACAATAAAGTCATGATATAAACTAGGCGATGTATCTAATCGCTTTTGAATATGAGCATTAGATTTCGAAATGGTAGACAGAGATAAATGATTATTAGGAACGGCTGAATTACTGGGTTCTAGATTACAAGATTTAGTACTACTTGCAGTAAAATGAACAGTAGCTGTGCATTCTGACTGAATATATCCCATCTTACCACCGTTAAAACATTTGGCCTCACGAAATACACATGAATTACGAAAATGAGATTTCTCATGGAGTCATCCAGGGAAGCGTATTAGGTCCACTTTTGTTTCTTATGTATATAAACGATATATGTAACACCATAGAATTTGGGAAACCATACTTATATGCTGATGATCTCAAAATAGTATACAGCTATAAGCCTGAGACACTAAGCGAAAGTGTATCCCAGATCCAAAAGGACCTCAATAACTTAACTATATGGAGTGAAAAATGGCAATTACCATTTAACCTCAACAAGTGCGGGATCATGCACTTTGGAAAGCATCCCTATAAACCGCGACTTCACTTAAATGAATGTAGAGTCCAAACATTCGAATCAGTACACGATTTAGGAATTAATTACACAGGAAGCCTAAACTTTGAAGAACATGCCTCCTCTATTATTTCTAAATCTAGACGGCTAATTGGTTTTATAATGAAAAACTTTTTCACAACAGAGGGTAAACTTACTCTCTACAAAATATGTGTACGACCCTCCCTTGAATACTGCTCTTTTGTCTTCTCTAATATGAATATCGCAGACAAGATAAGAGTAGAAGATGTTCAAAGACGTTTCACACGTCAACTACTAGGATGTAACTCGAATCTCGATTACACAGACAGATGTAAGCATCTATCTTTAGAACCTTTATGGCACCGTAGGCTAAAAAACAATTTAATATTTCTCTACAAAGCGATATATGGGCTCTCCTTTCTAACCTCCTGCCCGACTATCACCCACGACCCAGCCTATAGACTTAGAAACAACGCATATACACTACTTACCGTAAAACACCAAAAACAAATGCGTTGTAAGTTTTTTACAGTACGGTACAGTTTATTGTGGAACAGGCTGCCAATGCCTATCCGTAACTGTGATACGTTTACCAGATTCAAAAAGCTAATAACCCTATTTCTAGACTCCAAAGAGCTTCAACATTTCCTTGAACTCCCGCCCACCAATGAGGCACTTTATTACGGACCGCCTAGTATCTAGAAAGAACAAAATTATAACAAGTTCGACTGTTACTAATATGAATATAACCAAATCACAGAATATATGGCTTATCCTTTCCTATTATTCATTGTTTATTAATCATGACTTCATGCTCCTAACCCTAGCTTTCAGTCCCCAAATCTCTACAGGTTAAATGTACATTATTCTTCCTAAAAGTCATGCTTTTTTTTCTACTGCAAGTAGACAGATAGCTCAACCTTATGGATGCTGATCTACTAAGGCCGATCATACAAAGCTCAAAATTTGGCCACAAAGTCTTGTGAGTTTCTCAATGTTTTATTTGTCTTACCCTGAAATCTTTTTTTTTCTTTCTACAATTTTATACCCTCTCATATCTTTTGATTTGCTATTAGTCCTTACTTCTTTAAACCATTAGTTATTTTCATAGCAGTGTGATATACTATATGGACATCTAACCCAAAAAAAGACTTTTCAACTATCTGATTTGCTTGTAACATGGACCTAGTAGAGACAGTGTATTCCAACTATGGGCTTTGATTAAAGCAGTATTCATACTTACCACAAACGTAAGAGAGCCTAACATCACAAAAGGAGGGAGGGTGGCGTTACTGACCAGCAAACATGAAGGTGGGGAGATAACTTCAATCCACCCATGTCTGTAGGGCAGAACATTTTGTTTAATTACGGCTCCTTATGTTTTAGTGGGATGTCACGAACTTATGGTATTGATGCTGATTTATCACGCAAAATACCTCTTTAAATCGTGTTACGAACGTTGAATTGGTTTCACTTCCTACCCAGAAATCCTATTACAAGCAAACTAGACAATTCGCTAATATACGAAGCCTACTCAAGACCCTATAATACCTGAAAAAAATAATAATACAAAAAAAACGAAAGGGGCTCTAATAGCTTCGATAATAAAAGGAAGATAGCCAATTGTATATCACAATACTGTTTCTAGCACTATATTTTATTTTATAATCACATAAATCCCATACTCTCAGCTCCTTTACGAATCGCCTCCATTTGTCAGTTGTATGTCCACTCA